GCATCATTCAATATTATCAAATTATAATTAAACTCCTTATTACGGCACGGTTAAAAAATGACATTAGAGCGACAATATAGATTAACCGAGTTGCACTACGGCATTTTGGAGGTATATATCTCTGTAAGCTGAATTTTTTTAGTCCTGCTGGCCAGTTAAAAAATAAGCTTTTTCCTATATCACTTCTTCGATGATTGAAAAACTTTCATCGCACAAGGTAAATTAGTTTCTGTCACTCATTATCAGTTAAAATTCCAGTTAACTCTTTTTAGCATTTTATAGCCAAAAATTTTAACGGAAACTGAGTACTATATCCGAATTCAATTCCGTAATTTGATTGAGCATATATATTTTCTAAACTTGAATCTTATTTTACAGAGTTACTGCAAATTACCCTTTTTACTATCACAGACTTCTATTTCCCCTATAGACAAATAACCTCACATCCTTTTCTCAGTTACATCACATTACAGTTTCTTATAATCCAAAACCCTGTTTAAAGCTGAAAAAGTAGCATCTGCATTGATTCCCCCTTAGATTCAATAACAGGCAAAGTTATACTAATCGCATAAAAGCTGTTTGAAAGAATCTGCAACCAATCTACTTCACCGGATTTTTATTTCGTTCGAACGCTTTTACGATGGTTGTTTACGACACTGACTCATTTTTATGATCCCAATTTGTGAGCAACCGATACCGAAATATATAAGCTCTCTCCCTACGTTGAGCCTTAACAGGCAAAAAAGTTTCGGTTTTGTAGCTTATTGTGCAAAGCCATTAATACTTACAACCCAAAAGAATTATAATCACATAAAAGCTCTTTTTAAAAAAACGACGCAATTGCAGTCTCACAGTAAAAACTGCTTCAGTAATATTTAACAAATACTCAAGGCAGACATAGAAAAACACTTTTCAAGTTATTGCCATAGTAAATAAAAACAGTATGATTTAATTAGATTAAACATTCTTTCACCTATCATAAAAATGAATAACTATAAAATATAAAATATTCGATAGTAAAATGAACAAATGTTTAATGAGTAAAAGCAAACATATACTTTTATTTGAATGTTACAGATGCATACTAGAACATTCATTAATGTAAAATTTGGCTTTAATTAAAAAAAGAAGGGCTGGTGCGTTGCATTTTAAAAGGCAATGGACACATAGTCTCATTTCGGAGAAAATCATGTTGCTCAGGAACACTAATTTAATCAATATAAATTTGAACAGACATTAGACACCATCTATTGATCCTCTGTAAGATAAAATCATATTTTTGAGGCGGTGTGAATGAACATCCTTGGACAGAGAAATTTGGGTAGTGAAGCCATTGAATTAAACTAACAAAATCTGTTAAGTGATAAAATTACAACGAAATCGAAACCTTCATTTAAGAAAATTCTTTGAATAATTTTTATTATAAAATTGAAGCCATGTGAGAACGGTTGGAAAGATTTGATGAAATGATGGTAAACGATTTATAAATCTCAAAATAGTTAGAATTTTATTGAGCATGTATACTCTCAGTGAAATCCAAAAGACATAATTGTAAATGCGGCAACAATTTTGCTGCAAATTTCTTACACGAAACAGCGGTCAAAACTCAAACTGCACGTGGATCAAATGCATGATTTAAAAAAAAAAAAAAAAAAGTTTTTTAAATTATTCTTTTTTCTTTAACAAAATTTGTTAACTAAATTTTAAAATGTTTACTACATATATTTTCAAACATACATATAAAAATGACGCAAATAAAAAAAAAATTATACCTATTTTCTGCCTGAAATCTAAAGAATTGCATCTGCAAGAAATGTCTGTTGGACACAGTTTGTAATTGAAGCGTATTGAGAGCTAAATGTTAAAATTTTCAGATTGACATTTATTCAAATAATTGTTATATTTTGATGTAATCACTAAATAACTAAAAAGAAATATTCGAAAACTTCCCAGGAAGGACAAAACTTGAGAATAAATAATAACCTATTCTCTTTTATTTATTACGTTTTTTCTACTAACGCACACAGAAAAATTACGTATTCGTGTATTAAAATAATTATAAACTTCTTTATTTTCTGCCTACATTTTTCAGCTACAATACCTTCTCATGGTGTTTCGATTTTCATAAAGTTCTTAACACTGGAGGAAAATTACGATAAAATATTTTCATCTTAAAGTGTAGATACTCATCGGCAGTCTGGTTCATTTTGTGCACTTATTATCTTCAAGTACGAGGAAAACAGTAGCTGTTCACATGTAAATACACTCCCAAATAAAGTGATTTTTCGTATTGAAAAAAGTCATACTTGAAGATATTTAACTTTTGGCTAATTAAAGCTAATTAAATTTTAAGCTTTAAGCTAATTAAATTTGTATATTCAATTCTTCGAATAAGATTTATATCACAGTATAAATAAATTAATTAACTCCATTTCTAGATTTTTGAAGCGTTATACATGTTTGTTTTTGGAAATGAAAATAATGTAACCATTCAAATCTTAAATTTTTTCTTCAAATTTTTGTCATATAATTTGAGAGAAATATATTAGAGGGCAGCATGTAACCCAGGGCCGCCAGTTTGAAACCATTAATATCAACTACATGAGAACAAAATTTCTTATTGCCTCCAAAAACATAAGTTCTTATTGTCTCCCCAACTTCGGTAAATTCAAACGCATTCAAGTTAAACAGTTTTTCAGATTCTTGAAGTCATTATTTAACACTCCTTGTTCTCTTAAATTGAAACATTTGAGCCATCATGCACAAAGAAATTGGCATATAAATATTGTCAAAAATTGCTAACATAAGCAGATATCGGCAGATAAAAATCTGAGAAAACCATTTCAGTTATGTTCTAATAATAATTTCTTCGCTTTAACTAACTTTGTTTTAGGCAGATAGCCCTCGTGTGCTATCTGTCTCTGCGCATTGTTATAAAACAACGGTACCTAGAGCCATCAATATTTGAATTACGTAATCTAAGATTACGTTATTCAAATAACGTAATCTTCGATGGAATATGGGCATATGGAAGCCCTAATTTGAATATGAAATTTGTTTTATTATATATTTCAGAATTTTGTAACACTTCAACGAATTTTTAATTTAAAAACTAAACGATTTCAAAGCGAACAATGGTAACACTGTACGGGGAAAAAAACTATCTTCAGCGCTCGAGACGGAAATTCTGAAGTTATGCTCATTTTAAAAGTAATTTGCGATTCTGTTGAACTGAATTTTACAGTTTAAGTACGTAAAATATCATTTCATATCAACATTTAATAAATAAATGTAACACAAAAGCGTTAAAAAAACGCCCCCTTTGTACGTAATTTAAAATCTGAAACCTTTCACTTTCTTTTTTTTTCCTACAAAAATTTTGCTTTATTCTGATAGTCGTTTTATTTTTTTTATCTTTCCGTAACAAACAAATTTAAAACGTATTTTAAAAAAGGCCCATTTAATCCTCAACCATTAATTCATAATCAAATAAACCAAAACAAAGACTGCTTTGTCACAATCTACATCGAAACGGGAAGAATTTGATGTCTGCATCATTTTCAAATCATTACACAGGCACGTATATGTACAGGGTGGTTATAATTAAAGTTCTACTTTGAAAGGGTCATAAAAGGAAAACTACTGGACCAAATAGTTATCAAACTTAGTTAATCGTGTAAAGGAAGCCATGGGAGTTTATTTTCCGCGAAATAATAATAAAGAAAAAAAGTTTAAAAAATCACCACCAAGGGGGAAATGGAGCTGTATGCAATATTGTTAACCGAAATAAGAAATGAAGACATCTGTTTAAAATGTGTTTAATCGTTTCTACAACATGTTACAAAGCATGTTCAATGTGGCTTCCACCATTTTCCGAAAGCAAGTTAAATCGTATTACTGCATCCTCAACAGCTGCTCTTAGCATATCAGGAGGAATATTACGAAGACATTGGTATATCGTATCTTTCAATTCCTCCAAATTGTTTATAATATCACCATAAACAGTGCTTTTGTGGTAACCCCCATAGCCAAACGTCAAAGGGTTGAGGGCTAGTGACCGGAGTGACTAAGAAGTGGCGAGGTGTCGCCCTATAATTCGTTCATTTGTGAAATGTTGCCTAAATAACTGTATGACACATGCACCAATGTGCGGTGGGGCCCCGTCCTGCACAAAAATCGTAGTGTCTAGTAAAATGCCACGTTGCTGCAGTTCAAGTATCACGAAGCGTCTTAGCATTGACGTTAAGCGAGCTGCATTCACAGAACATGTAATAGGTCGCTGTCGATTGCCTCTTCAAAGAAAAATGGTACAATTATGAAACTAGTTGTCATACCGTACCAAACGGTGACTTTAGAAGAATACAGTGGAACTCGGTAGATAACATGAGCGATTTGTAAGAAACCGATTTCCGGAATGCGCACATTTTTGCGAGAGATTTGCGATCTGATAATCTCTAATTTGTGGTTTTTAAGGATGGATTTCTCCATTACACGAATGGCGCCCTCGACTTTTATCACCTTTAAATGGTAGTTTTGCTTGGGTCAATTTTCTTAAGAGTATACAACATGTTAAACCCCCTTGCCCCACCCTAGCTGCGCCACTAGAGGTTTGGTGTGGAATTTGATATTATAATAAATACAATATAGTCATTGAAGAAAGAGCATGAATTCTATTCTAACAAAAAATTATTCTTACAACATTTAAACACAGCAACAACATATTTCCAAGGCTTAGTGCTTAATTAGAATTGGAATTCATTTCTAACACAGTCGTCTGCTCACGAGGCAGTTCAAAGTTAGCCCTTATCTAGTTCGTCAAGTGGCGCTGCATGCGTAAAGAGTTTGCATTGTTGACCTGCGGTCTTATCCGGCTATGGGTAATGATTTTTCTATTTATTTTAATATTACTCAGTTATTAGAAGGAAGACTGAGCTTATACTTTATAAAACAAAGTAAGAATTTCAATTAGGAAAATAATTCATTTTACTTTCTTGTTGCAGATCCTTTCGTAAAAATATACTTGCTTCAAAAAGGGAAGAAAATCAGCAAGAAGAAAACTTCTGTCAAGAAAGGAGATCCCAACCCTGTGTTTAATGAAGCTATGATCTTCTCTGTACCTGCAGCTGCTCTTCAGGTAAATAGATTTATTTTAAACAATTATGTGAAAGAACGTCTTTTAATATTATTGCTTTAAGATTTTGCTGCTTTTATTTCTGGATGTACTAATTCCGAATACGATTTCAGTCTTAAAGTGCATTGTCATAATATTCGGTCTACCGGAAAGTTCTGTCCGTTTTTGGAACAAAACAAAATACAAATTTTTCTTACCGGCAATAAACTTGATTAAATAATATATTTGCCAATATTATTAATGACTTCTTGCCAGCGTGAGGACTTCTATATCCCATTTTTGAAAAATTTTGTACCTTTTCATGCGAAAAATTGAACCAGTGCTTGTTTGATATCTTCTTCATTTTTGAATTTTTTGCCCTTCAAAAAATTTTCTAAGGACAAAAACAAGTGATAGTCGAAGGATGCTAAGTCCGGGGAATATGGTGGATGCGACATAATTTCTCAGCCTTAGTTCTGCAATATTTTGACGAGTCCCCAAAGCAGCATGTGGCCTGGCATTATCAAAATGCAGTATGATGTCCTTCCTATTGAACATCGCAGGCCTCTTTTCTTGGACTGCTGTCTATAAATTATCCAGTTGCTGACAATATTTCTCCGAACTGATATTTTCGTTCGGTTTTAAAAGCTCATAATGTATTTGTCCTCGAATATCCCATCATATACACAACATTTTCTTATTCAGAGTGAAATTTCGTTTAGAGGTGGAAGGGCTAGGTTTTCCGGGTTAACAATATGCCCTTTCCTTTATGATGTTATCGTAGGTAATCCACTTTCTATCCCCAGTTATTATTCGATTCAAGAAGGTCTCGATTTTGTTCAGAGCAAGCGGAGATGTGCATATGACGACTCGATCATCCAAATTTTTCTGGCTTAATTCATGTGGCACCCATCTTGAATATTTTTCACTCCAATCATATCTCCCGAATATGGTCCGAAATGGTTTACTGAACTGAATTAAGCGACTTTCTGCGATCTCCGATGTTGTCAGAAAAGGATCTTGTTCCAACATGGTCTTAACAACATCGTCGTTTATGAAAGATGGTCGCCCAGAATGTAGCTTATCAGACAGGTCGAAATCACCTGTTTCAAATGTTTCGAACCATCTTCTGCATGCGCTATCAGAAACTGTACCTTCACCAGTAGCCATGAGTACACTATCGCTTCACACTTAAGATTAACGTGAATCAACTTTGTTTTAGTTAATTTGCTACGTCAGTATGTATACATTAAGCGATAAAAATAGAGAGCCGAGCATGCACCAAATAAATATATGCTTATGTGTCAAAAATTGGTGTCACAGAAACGGACAGAACTTTCCGGTAGACCGAATATTTTACATAAATTATTTATTGTAACATGAAAACACTTCACAACAGAGAGAAAATTTTCAATCCTTGATATGCAAGGCTTTACGCAATAAATGTCTTAAACATTATTATGGCCATACATATTGTAGTATAAAATACCTCTTCAAAATTAACTTCGAGCAAAGCAGGGTTTTATCACTGAAGCTTAAGTCAGCAACTTCAGTTCTTTTATTGTTTAGAGATAAAAGGATAATTTTCTTCGAAGATAAAATATAAAATAATAGTAAAATAAACTTTCGCAGCTAAACTTTAAAATGATTCAGTTTAATAACTCTTAGAAGTTTACCTGAAAACGCATTACAAGTTGGAGCTAATACCTGTTAATTAGAAGACTTCTAAAATATCTGTTTTGCTTTTAAAAGAGTTTTAGTATAGCTGCTAATCTTTAATTAACGTAATTTACAACATATGAACTGCCTACTGAAAATTCTTCATTTATATATTTAGAAAATCTTCACTTATAAGTTAAGTGCACTTGGGCAAAAGGAATGCCTTTGCTTCTAATTCAAGAATAATCGGAAATAATAGCAAAATAGAGACGTGGTAAAAGAATGAAAATGGAAAAGAAAATGCATAATTAGGAAATTAAAGCCAATTTCGATTCCCGGTGAAGGTGTTTGCTAATTTTTATCTTGCCTGCTTCAAAAAATAAATAAATAAATAAATAAATAAAAAATACTTAATGTCTCAACAATGGCACCCGAACTAAAGGATGTTGGATGAGGATTCTCCACACCCAGGATTTGGCGATTGGGTCCCCTAAAAACCCCCGTTGCCCTTTAAAAGGGGGAGTATATAAGGTATTTCTCCCGCCTTCCTAGCGTGCCTTCGTGGTGTAGTGGTTCTGCACACTGGGCCGCTAGTCCAGAAGTCCGTTGTTCGATTCCCGGCGAAGGCGGTTGCTAATTTTTCATCTTGCCTGCTTCCTTAAAATAACCTAATGTCTCTACAAGGTTAAGGTTTTTATGCCTTAAGTTAATAAGTATGCAATGATTGTAGAATTATCAGCAATTTAAAAGTGTAAGTAGCACTAGGCCTAATGACGCCTCTATTTGTTAACATTTGAAACTCTTAGTGGATACTGAGTTCAGCTGGTGCACTAACTTCATTGCCTTTTTGCTCAGTGAGACCGAAAGTTGACTTTTAATTCTGTGCATCAAAAATTTAGTCTTCCTTCCCGTTGGCCGAATTGCTTGTTTTCGAGTAGAAACTCGCAATTTTAGTCGCAAAAATTGTTTTTCTTTAACTCTTTTTTTTTTTTTTTTTTATTATTATTGTATTCGCTATGTTAGGTTTTTCTGTATTGAAATTCGAGGAAGTAAGTTTAAATGAAGTGCAGCAAAAAATGTGTATAATTTAATAAGCCGTATAAGGAAGTCATGCTGTATTTACATCAGGTATTTTTCTGGCGAATAAAGGATCTGTTCCTGATCGCTCCCGAAACTGTGTTCGAAATCTAACGGATACTAAAATTGCTTTTGTGGCTAATTTTAAACTTTACATTGGTGTTTTTTCTCTTCCCTTTTAAATATATATTTTATAGATCATATTTACAATAATTATACAAATTTTGGTACTCTTCTGTTATCAGGATCGAATTTAGAAATGTATATACGTATAGCATGCATGGATAGATGGATGGATTCATATGCGCAAATGTATACATATATGTACGTATATAGGTCCCGATAACAGAAGAGTACCCAAATTTTCTTTTATTGATCAAGAAAGCGTGTACTAAAAATTATTGGTAATAATATTTTCCAGAATATACAGTTGCGCCTTACTTTAGCTGAATACCAAGCTGAAGGAAAGACACCAGCTGTAGGTCACATTTTTGTTGGACCACATTGCTCAGGCAAACAACTGTCTCATTGGAACCAAATGATTTCTGCGCCTAGGAAACCTATTGCTATGTGGCATCCGTTAAAGAAGAGAGATGGGTAATCAGTCAGATACTTCTTTATGTTCTTCTATCTTGTGTTGGTGGCATTGAGTGTTACGAATCACAGATCTATAGCCTGAAAAAGGGCCTGTTCAGTGTTCATCTGTTGCAGTAGCATTCATCTTCTTCGAATGAACATAAATATAGGATTTTCTATTAGTGAAAAAAAATAGCTTCTATTTTTTTAAACCTCGGTTCCCATAAATAAAGTTCAAGAAGAACAAACTTTTGGAAATTATTATTTAATGCCTGTTCTATACGCATTAAAAGAATACAGGGCAGTAAAATAGTTTAAAAGTATTCTTTAAATGAATCGAATATTGATAATTAATAATGTGATCAATAAAAATGAAAATTATTTTATAGCATTTGATTAATTTTATTTGGTTTTAAGACGCTCAATAATATTATTATAATATTAAGTATAGTACTGAAAATTAAGTAGCAAATTAAACAAAAATAATTTTTATTTTTTTAGAATAATATGGAATGACACAACGTTTTTATAATTAAAAACGAATTATTTTTAAATAAATTTAAAATATTAAAATGAATAATAAATTTATTTTATGCATGTATTAGCAGATCATATTCTATTCGAAACCTTTGATCTCTATGAAAGTGGGTTTTTCGATAAAATACCATTTTCATTTTGAATTTGATAATTTATACATGAAAATGGCGTTTTTATGGAATTCAAATCAAAACTGTGAATTTCTAAATAATAATGCTACGCGACAGGAATATTAAATTATTAATAATACTTATATGATTTCTAAAAAAGAATTAATAATCTTTGGTTCATCTAGTCAAGAGCCTGATTAAGTAAAACAATGAATCGCTTCATAATCTCTGTTGCTCAAATGCTTATTAAGTGGCAAGTTGCCAAAAAGAAAGTAAAATGATACTAATTTTTAAAATAAATAACTTATAAATTTATGTTATTTGAAAAGAACAGATGAAGTTAAAACCGAGCTATTAAAAAAGGAACCGAGGCTTTTTGGCTTAATTTTAGTCATAGATTTTGCTTAATATTTAAAAAAGAGATTTTTTTAATCATTTTTGTAATTTAATATTGAATTTCTAACATTTTGAAATTATAACTGTATGTACATAATTCTAATTCTTCATTTTTTCGCCTTTTTAATTATTTTACGTTCGCTAATGTAAGCTTAAAGCTTTTTAAATAAAAGTAGCATGAAGTTCTACATTTTACGCACAAAAAGCTGCCGAATTGTTTTCAAAAATATGTTGTTAATTTAGTTTGCACTCCAATGTTTTACTATTTGCTATTAATGTTTTATAAAATAACTGGTCATTTGTGTCTTTACACTACGTTATTGTTCTTATGTGATAAAAATATTGTATAATGAAAACTAAAATTTCCTTTCATAAAATGTATGTCAATGTGAGTTCAAAACAAAAATGTATTGATGAGTAACATTGTATGATGTGTCAACCAATGTTGTGTCATTTGTGTATTATTACAAAGCAGCTGTTCCTCTTTTATGCACATGTACGTACTTGCACGATGTCAGTACAGTATAGCAAATTATCAGATATTTTCTGTTGTATTGTGTATGCACATATTTTATTTTTATTGCCATAAATAAGCTAAAAAGAAATTGAAAGGAATGAACGCGTTTTAAGCCGTTTTATGTATTAAAAAAAATCGAGAACACTCAGTGAAATAGAAACAACAACTAACACTTCAAAATACATGTTTATGAAAATACCAAACCAAGAAAATCCATTCTGTACAGTAAAATGCATAAGTAATTTCATAAATGTACTAAAAAGCATAAATACAAGAAAAATAGGTACTTAATATTATCCCTAGCGACCACGAAACTCCATAATTATGGATAAGGTTGACATAAGAACATATTCATAAGATCTGCGTTTTCATTTCATGTAACCGCGAATGTTTCTCGATAGGACATGTTTTATTTTATTTTATTTATTTATTTTTTATTATTATTATTTTTTTAATGGACAAGGATATAAGTTAACTGTTGCTGGTGTAACTGCATTAAAAAAAATGGGATCTGCCTTCTACAGAACAGAAAGCAGTGGACTACCTTCAAAGCTATGGGATCTTACCATGAAGAAAAAAAGTCAGCTGAATATGACGATAAAAGAGTAACAGACTGGCGGTAAGTTTGTATATACTGTATTCAAAACAGAGGTAACGGTGAAATCGGAGGGCCTAACAAAATAGTACAAATCGACAGAAGCCTCTTTACGAAGTTGGTCGAATACTTATTTTTAATTAAACAAAGAAATTTATTCAGAATTCCGTAAGAACGATTGGCGCAATAATGGTGTGTTCTGCGTGAAATTTCATGATTCGATGGGAGCCAATTTTCTTGGTCGATGTAATAATACGTAAGTACCAAAACATATTTCGGAACAATAATAAATAATTAATTTTCAAGATTAAATCTTAGTTAAAAAAATTATAAAGATTTTGAATCAGAAGAGTAATTTTTATGGTTAAGTTACTGTAAAGAATAATCGCATATAAAACTTTTATATGTGATTATTATAGAATAATCACATATAAAACTCTTTGATATGTGATTATTCTTATATGTATATATTTATAATACTTTTTGTACCTTTGCCCCCACCTTAATCAGATTTATATTAAGCAGTGAATAATTTGTTACTATGCATGAAACCTGGATGAGAGTTATCAAAAATAACGAAATTATAAATCGAAAAATATTTAATACAGAAATGTCTTGTTTGTACCATTATTAAAATAAAACTACCACAAATATTTTTTTCTTACAATGAATTTCAACATGGACATCCCTGGTGGCACTACAAGCATTCAAACAACATTATGAGTAAATCCCAACTCACTTTGCCTAAGGTACTTTAGGTGCATCAGAAGTCACATTGCATTTAATATGAGTTTCTGGACTGGTGTCGGCGGTCTTTCATATAGATATTGCAGGTAAAGTTTTTAGAAAAATCCAGTGAATTTAAATCTGATAACCAAAGAAACTAAACTTTCGGAGATGTTAGAAGATTTTGACATAATCCCGGGTATGTTTTCAAAGAAATTGTTGTTTTCCCGACCTGGGAAATGTCTTACATATTGCCCTCTGACTGATCATCACTGTTACTGAATTTATTTGTGACCACCACCAAATGTCTTTATGAGTAACGCGTGAGAAAAACTTTAAAGAATTTCTCTTGAATTGCACATTATATTTTAAATTTTTAATATAATTTCCCAGATATCTTCATCCATTTTTCCAGATATCTTTCACCCATGCATCCTATATATTATACGTATGAAGTTTAATTTTCCAAAAAGATACTTATGATTTTCATATTTTATAAAATTTACTTTATGCTGTTTTTGATTCAACTTAATAATGTATTTCAAACTATTATGATTTATTATGAATTTTTATGATGCTGATAAGAATATCACAATTAAGTTGACTTTATTTGATTATTCAGCTATTGCAAAAATAATAAAGGTAATAAAAATTTTAGAGTAGACATAAATGCCACATGTACTACTCAGATTTGTATATAAAATAAAATTTTACAAAAAATGCAACCACGAAAAGCAATTCTGATAACAGATTGGATGTTTGAATATTGACATTGAGCATCCACCAAAATAAACTGAGAATGGTAAAATTCGTCACAAAAATGCTGCAAAATAAGACTGGAGTTAGTTTAATTTTCTTGTTTGGAATCCATGGTATCTCACTGAATATTCACTATTTAATTCTTCTATCGCCTGTGATGCAGCCTGGGAAATTTTCGGGGATGACTCGCCAAAATATCTATAGGTTCAGCCGTCTGGCCATTGAGGATGGAAGATTTATTATGTATTTTTTATCGTTCTGCTTAAATTCCAAGTAGAATTTAGGTCATTGGTATATAATATAAAATAGCATTTAAAAGAGGCCATGATGGACGAGATTAAATTCAAATTTAGCACAATTAACTATTTCCTCAATTATGACACATACTTGAATTAGAAGAGCAGTATTGGAATCGTAAAGCAAAGATTTAGTTTTGAAAGTATGTTTCTATATCGGTCATCTTTATTGCCCTTCCCTCTTTTTTTTCCCAAACAAAAAAAGTTGAGTTTTTAATGAAAACCAGATGTTTCTTTCTAATATACCACTTTAAATGTTACATTCATTTAAAAGGAATTGAAAATGGAGAAATGTAAAATTAAAAAAATAATTATAATAATAATAATAAAGAAAAGAAAAGAAATCATTCTAGGGATGGACTACTTGAAAACAGTGATCATCAGCAAACTCAGGTTTTAATCTGTGGTGTTTCATGAACAGAAAATTATGCAGAAAAACTGATCATTTTTGTAAGATACCGAGATTGATAAACACAAAGCGTATATTTCTATCGTCGTACTTTGTCAGGGCGTGATTTTCACAAGAAAACAGAGCTTTGAATATTAAGTTAAAATTCTGAAACTAGTAGTACATGTTTAAAGATTTTCGAAGAATAAACCTTTGGTGCAATTTTCTTCCTTTATTGTATTATGTCAAACAACCAACTAGTGTATTGCTTTTGGAATTGCTATGAAAACGGAAATAGATCTTCCAATAATAACCGAGGAGCTGATGTTTTAATCTAAATAGTTGGTTGGTTGAAAAAGCAAACAATCTGCAGCCTTTTTGTAGAAGAGAGGAAATAAAATGACATATTCTTTCAGCAGTGGTAAATCTGGTAGAAAATCTGTTCCTTACAGTTGGCTGTCTCAAATCCAAGGATGTGTGATACTTTAAGGAGCAGTAGATGGGAATCAACAACTGAAAAAAGGTTAGCATTGAGAAAATAAGGAACAGCTTAATCTCTTTCATAACATAATCGGAACCCACAGCTGAAATGTTTGTTATCTTAGACATTGAAAGCTCTTAATTCATTAACATATAGCTGTGTTCTTTTGAATCTAAATACAGTTATATAAACAAACTAATTCATATTTTCTTCTCATAAGTTTGCAAAAAGACTTAGTGTTTTTAGACCACAACTTAATTCTGAAAGTTTTACGTAAATCGAAATAAATAATAGAAGAGTAATACACATAAGTCTTCCTCTATTAAACAAAGTCATAGCTCTATATTGTATAGTTATGTAGAGTTGTTATTTAGAAAGAGTTTTTTAAGTAAAAGCATGTTATTTAGAAATAAGTAATTTCTTCGCTCAGAAAAAGCGAATGCTGTTTATAACAATTGTATAAAGTGAAATGAGATAACAGTGAGTTTCGCGTAAATAAAATTTCGCATTTAAAAGCATTCTGTAACCTAAATTAAATCAAATATAGATGATTTACCGGTTCCAATGAAAGTGTAAAAATATTAAAATTTGCTGTACAGATT